TTTGTTTTGTAGTGGTGGAAGAAGTGCACCAAAATTTTCTTATTGATCTATGAATTTTTACAAAAATGAGTATGCATCTCAACTATTGTGATAAAGTCATGGAAAAAATATTGTTATACAACTTTAAAGCAACTGATTATACTTGATTAAACGCGACCACATACATTTATAAATCTTGGCACTTAACGGAGCAATCCCACTAATTAACCATCCTATGGAGAAGGCATTATCCACACGTTCCATCTCTAGGAAAGAGTAGCAAGCCCCCTGACCAGCCATCATCCTAAGGACAATTTCATAAAACTCTTTATATCCTTCCGTATCAATAAGATAGAGATTTTTTGACACAAAAACCTCCAACAACTTCTTAAATTAGATCTTCAAATATTGCCAACTTTTATTTATGATTTCTCGTTAGCCAAAGATAGAATGTAGGGATGGCTCTCCAAAGTGGACAACAAGATATAGAAAACCAATTGGAAGGTGGAAAGATATAGATAGCAGGTTTTATTCAAGCTGGCTCTCCAAATGATGATTTAGAGAGTGGGTTTAAGAAAAAAAAACTCTTGGAGATGCCCTAAGAGCAACTTTAAGAGTCTCTTTATATCCTTCGATATTAATAAGCATAGAGATTTTGGTGAAAAACCCCCTCCAACAACTCCTTGATTAGATCTCTAAATATTGGCACCGTATTTTTTTGGTTTCTCACTAGCCAAAGATGAAGAAGCGAAGTTAACTCTCCAAAATGCACATAAGAAAGATATAGAGAAGATGTTGGATGGTGGAAAGATATATAGAGCATTTTTCAAATAGCTCTCCAAATAAGGATTTTGAGGGTGGGTTCAAGAAAAAACTCTTGGACATACCCTAAAATTGACTCCAAAAGGCTTTTTTATATCCTTCCGTATTGATATAAATAGTGATTTTGGTGAAGAAAAAGTCCTCTAACCTCTCAATTAGGATCCTATTTGGTTCGTGACCACAACTTGCTCTGTGCCATGACTTAGTCTTGCGCATTTTCTTTGGCAGCTATCGCCTCATTGTTACAACTATATGCGCCACACTTTCCTAGAACTCATCCCACATGTCATACTTATTTTCTTACCAAGCTTTTGCCATAAGTGTGGTTTGAACTTTCGATTTTGCTCGCCACACTTTCTTCTCTGATTCTTTGAAGATAGGCGTGGCAAAATACGACACCAACCAAAGCAGACCCTAGACTCTAAACCTTTGTCATCCTCTAAAGTTTCTCGCAAACCAAAGATAGAGAGTGTGGCTGACTCTGCATAGAGAAGTTATTGGAGGATGGAAGATACATATAGCAATTCTTTTAATGACTAAATGAGGATATAGAGACAAAATTTAAGAAAGAATACTGGAACCTAATACCACTGTTATGAAATGAATGTTGGAACCCAATACCACTGTTATGAAATTAGGTATCGCTCCGATAAAAAAAACAGAAATTAGGTGTCGCTGCAAAGTTAAACGACATTCAGATACTGCTGCCTGCAGCTATCATTTAACGCCCGCGCTTTTTAAAATTGCAGAAATGCTATACAACACACATATGTTTAGCAAAAAAAAACACATGAATTTTTTTTTATCTCTCTCCCTCTCTCTTTCTCACCGGTGACCACCGGCGCCGGTGACAATGATTGGAAGCTCGCTTCCTTAGCCTTGCCCAAGGCCATGGCGATGGTGGCGCCGCCGCACCGCCATGTAGTAGTGGCGGTGGCGGCGGCGGTGGTGGTGGCATACGCCACGCCGCGCCAGCGCCTCCCACTCTGCGCCACGGCCATGGCGACGGCAGCAGATCTGTGATTTGTCCTTCTATAGAAAAAAAATTATAATCTGTGATATGCGGAGGCTGGAGATAGAAGAAGGGTGGAGGCTGTTGGATCTTAATCCTATGGTGTAAAAAAAATTCATATGTTAAAACTGCATAAAACAAACGGTTATACAGTAGACTGACTCTTAAATTGACTATCCACGAAAACAGGTCAAACACAGGGACTGTCGTATGTTAATGCAAAGTATTAAGCCATGACGTCTTTGCCGTGGCACTGCTGCGTCCGCCGGCCGTCTGGTCACCAGCCCAGTAACTACCCCAGCACCAACCAAACGTCGTCGTGCGCGCTCATATGTGGCTGACACGCCGGCCAGCCGGCGAAAAGCCTCGCCACCACCGCGGTCGCGCGGTCACTTTCGTCTTTCGTGGCGCAGCCCAGCGCTTCCTACGAACTAGGAGACCGAAGGAAAAGCGGTCAGCCCTCCCACAGCTTGCTAACGAAAAGAACACGCACGTGAAGCGAATTGCCGAAATCGGTCGGCACGTTCCCTGCACCAGCGCGAGACTTTAATCTAATCAGACACCGCGTCGGCGTGGTGATCTGATCGGGGCACGCTAGTTGCGGATGGCCGAACTGCGGCTGCCGGGACGGGCAGGTGAAAAGGTGGTCGGACCGGCCGGCCGGCGGCGCGGTGGGACGTGGGACGTGGGTCGTGTGGCCGCTGCCCGCTGGCCTGTTCGAAATGGCGTCGTGTGCTTGGAATTCCGTCCGATCGAGTCAAATGGTGATTGCTTGTTCCACATGGCATCGCGTCTGTAATTACTGTTGGCTGCAACCGCTCTTGTTCTTTTTTGCGTCCGTCTGGCCCGTTTGGATGTTTCGAATGCTGCTGCTCTGTAGTATCACTCCCTGTCCGGACTCTGGACTTCTGGAGGGGGCAAAAATGAAGAAGGAAACCGTGTTCTTACCGTGTCAGCAAGGTAATATGCGATTGGAAACAGCACATGTCGAAGCAAGCCAGGTTAGCCTGATTGTCTACTACTAGTCGCTCAGCTCGGGTAGAAAAGCCCACGAAGATAGTAAAACGATCGTAAATTTCTAGTCGGAAACAGTATTTTTCTCTCACATCAAACCAGCCAGCAGTAAATAATTCACGATACGACAGGCTGATTGTCGGGTTCAATCATCCCAGGTGGCAGTCGGACTGTTCAATGTGGAAGCCCGTTGTCTGTCACGAAGGCACATCACCTTCACATTCGATCGACCAGTCGCCTGCTCTGACTAGAAGAAATGTAATTTTTTTTTGAGAGGTGCTCTCCGCGCTTGCCACGCGGTAGAACAAATGCAATTATTGATCTCATAGCTGAGGTCCGTGGAACGTGGGGTTTTCACATCCATGGATGCATCACGAATCCCGGTTAACCTAGCAGAACCTGCTTAGTGCTTACACGAATTTTACTACTACCACACACGTGCTGCCCCCTGCATCCAGCGGAAGATGTTTTAACTTTTAAAGAAATGGTACGGTTGTTTCGTGTAAAGTCCCAGTTATAAGAACGATAAGAGAGAAAACGATAGTTTAAGAACCGAAGCACCCTTGGATTCTCGCGAGCCCATGCTGGCTGTGGCCTGGCCATGGTCCTCCACTCTGAAAAGCTACTACTAGGCCTAGGCGGGATCTCATTCTCGTGCACCCCTTGCTGTCGGCCGTCAACGCACTGTTTGCATGTTTCTCCTTCGCCTCCCGGCGCTCGCGATCCAATCGAGGCGGGGCTGAGTCATCCTCGTCCCATCCGGGAACACTCCTCATCCCAGCCCTCCATCCCATCTCCATCCGACGGCCGCCTTATCACACACGCACGGCTCTCAGCCTCAGCTAAGGATGTCAACCGGACGGGTTCAGATCGGGTGGAGTGTCTGGACATCCAAAATTGAAACCCGAACTTAAAACCTGAATTTGTCCCGAACACCAATTTGGGTTAAAATTCATCCCCGAAACCAAAACCCGCGGATCTCCGAAACCCGACGGATAATCCAAAACCCAAAAAAATTACAACAAGAACAACAATATTAAATATGATAAATTAGCAAAACAGATCGCAGATAACAAGATGTAACCATGAAAGTCCTGACAGACAGCAGCTACAAATGTACATAATATGTATAGAATAAATTAGCTAGCCATGTACAGAATAAATTAGCAAGCAACGGTGGCAGCTAGCCATGTACAGCATCAACTAGCAAGTAGCAGCAGCAATTAGCCAGGGCAAGTAGGCACCTGCTCGCCTCTGCCACACCGCCCCCCGGCTGGGTGCGCCCTACACCTACGAGCTGTCCGCGGCCCCTGCTGGGCACGCCGCACGCACGCGCTGAGTGGGCAGCGCCGGCTACCGGCTGCTGCGGTGCTGCCTTCTGGACGGCGGGCAGCGGCCAAGGCGGCAAGGCACCGAGGCGGTCGTCGGTGGGTGCCTGGGTGGGGTCGAGCCTCGAACACGGAGCACCGGGGTGAGCACGGATCCACGGTTCCACACCGAGAGGAAGAGGTCGAGGACTCCACCGCTCGAGCTCGAGGCGTCCCTGCGTCGCTGCCGTGCACCCGACTACGACTGCCCGAGCGGCGGCTGGGTCTGGGGTGATCGGGTGAGGGTTCTGAGGGAGAGGATTTCAGGCTTATATGCTAGGGTTGTTGATGGGCTGCTAGTGGGCTAAATTATTTTGGGGCTCCGATGGTGATCCACGGGTGAAACTGAAAACCCGCCCTAAACCCGCAACTTGAAAAACCATGGGGGCGAGAACCAGACACTGAAACTGAAACCGCCGGACCCGAAAACCGCTGATATCCCACCCGAACCCGCACCGCTGTCATCCTTAGCCTCAGCCCCTTCCAATCGTCTTCCCTCGCAGTCGCAGACGGAGAGGCTGCCGGAAATATTAAACCCCGAGCTGCCGAGCATCACCATTAAACTAAGCACATGAAGCGCAACCATCACAGTAGAAGATAAGCAAGCAACCTCTCATGCGGGTTGGGATTCCTTCCAGCTCAACTGCACACGCCTACCGCCCCCGTCATTTATAAGCCCCTCCTCTCTCTCTCTCTCTCTCTCTCTCTCTTCGCCTCGCCGCTCCGCCATCGTACGCACGCCATCCCCACTAAACCAGCCGTTTCTGTAGGTGTTAGTTATACCGCGCTCAGCTGTTCCAACTCCAATGGCCATGCCCAACCCACGAACGGTGTTGACCTCCGCGCCGTCACCGCCCGTCGGCTGCTCCTCCTCCACCACCTCCTGGTCGGCGCCGGCGGAGTTCATGGCGCCGGCGCCTCCGTCGCCGTCCGACGGCGAGCTGCTGCGCTCGCTGCACCGCCTCGCGCGGGACCTGTCCGCGGCCGCCGAGACGCCGGCCCCGTTCCTGCGCGGCGCGCTCGCGCCCATCACCAGGCGGTCCAGGCTCCTGGCCGCCGCGTTCGACGACCTGGTCCTGTGCGCCGCGGCGGCCGGGGGGGACATGCCGCGGTCCGCGTCGCTGTGCCTCCGCGAGGTGCTCCTCGTGCTGCAGCGCTTCAAGGCGCTGGCCGCCGACTGCGCCGCGCGGAGCCGGATGCGGCTGCTGCTGCAGTCGGACGAGATCGAGGAGGAGGTAAGGGAGCTGCACCAGGACCTGGCCACGCTGCTCGACCTCCTGCCGGGAGTCGAGCTGGGCCTTGCCGACGACGTCATCGACCTGCTGGACCTCGCGTCGCGCCAGTGCAGGCGGTTCGCGCCGTCTGTGTCTGTCCAGGCGGAGCAGGCTCTCAAGGCCAGAGTGCTCTCGCTAATACAGGAAATCGAGCGGGAGATCGTGCCGGAGCGGGAGAGGCTGCGGGAGATCCTGGAGGAGGTGGGCATCAACGACACCGCGACCTGCGGCGAAGAGATCGAGAGCCTCGAGCGGGAGATCGGCGACCGCGCCTCGGAGAGGTGGACGGACGCCATGATCGCGCTCGTCGGGCTGCTGCGGTACGCCAAGTGCGTCCTGTTCAGCGCCACGCCCGGCCTCCTTCGGATTCCAAGCCGGACCCCGAGGTCGACGAAGAAGGGGAGCCCCCGGCACCGCCGCCGGACTTCCGCTGCCCCATCACCCTCGATATCATGCGCGAGCCCGTCGTCGTCGCCAGCGGCCAGACGTACGACCGGGACTCCATCTTCCGGTGGTTCGACTCCGGCAAGTCAACGTGCCCCAAGACAGGGCAGGTCCTTACCGTTTTGGAGCTCGTGCCCAACAAGGCGCTCAAGAACCTCATCGCCAAGTGGTGCCGGGAGAACGGCGTCGCCATGGAGAGCAGCGAGGCGAGCAAGAGCGAGCCGGCGCAGGCGGTGGCCGCGAACAAGGCGGCGCTGGAGGCGGCGCGCATGACGGCGTCGTTCCTCGTGAAGAAGCTCTCCATCTCCTTCTCCCCGGACGCGGCCAACCGCGTCGTGCACGAGATCCAGCTGTTGTCCAAGTCCGGCGCCGACAGCCGCGCGTTCGTCGGGGAGGCCGGTGTGCCGTGCCGCTGCTGGTGCCCCTGCTCTACTCCGAGGACGCCGGGCTCCAGCTGAACGCCGTCACGGCGCTGCTCAACCTCTCCATCCTCGAGGCCAACAAGAAGCGCATCATGCACGCCGAGGGCGCCGTGGAGGCGGTCGCCCACATCCTTAGCTCCGGCGCGACTTGGCGCGCCAAGGAGAATGCGGCGGCCGCCGTGCTCAGCCTCGCGTCCGTTCACACCTACCGGCGCCGCCTCGGCGGAACCTGTCCATCGTGGAGAAGCTGGTGCATCTGGTCCGCACCGGTCCGACGAGCACCAAGAAAGACGCGCTGGCCGCGCTGCTGTCGCTGGTGGGCGAGAGGGAGAACGTGGGAAAGCTCGTCGACGCCGGCGTCGCGCAGGCGGCGCTGTCCGCGATCAGCGAGGAGGAGACCGCGGCCGCGGTGCTGGCCGCGCTGGCAAAGCGCGGCGGCGCGGAGGCGATCGTGGGCATCGACGGTGCCGTGGCGCGGCTGGTGGCCGAGATGCGGCGCGGCACGGAGTGGGCCAGGGAGAACGCGACGGCGGCGCTGGTGCTCCTGTGCCGGCGGCTGGGCGCGTGCGCGGTGACGCAGGTGATGGCCGTGCCCGGCGTGGAATGGGCCATCTGGGAGCTGATGGGCACCGGCACGGAGCGCGCCCGCCGCAAGGCCGCGTCGCTCGGCAGGATATGCCGCCGGTGGGCCGCCGCGTCGGCCGCCGACGGCGAGCGGGGCAGCGTGTGCCCGGCCGCCAGCAGCGTCGTGCCTCCGGCCATGATGGCGTCGTAATCAAGTCTAGCCAAGGGCAATGCCAGATAGGGTAAAGCTCAGATGAAACCAACATTTTTTTCTTTCCCCTCTTCTCCTCATGATGTACAAAGTTTGCTTAGGCTGTCACGATTCTTTGATCAGAGAGTGATAATGGTGAGTGGTTGATCAACTGTGCATACGGAGCTCTTTACTGTACCAATGTACTTATTCTTCATCAGCGGCTCTAACGCCGTGTTTAGTTCACCCCCAATATCCAAAAAGTTGCTACAGTACCTGTCACATCGAATGTTTGCGGCCCATGCATGGAGCATTAAATGTAGACGAAAAGAAAAACTAATTGCACAGTTTGGTGGGAAATTACGAGACGAACGTTTTGAGCCTAATTAGTCCATGTTTGAACACTATTTGCCAAATAAAAACGAACGTGCTACAGTAGCCCCAAAATCCAAATTTCGCGAACTAAACAAGGGCTAAATATAGTAGTACAATGAAAATGGCTTTAGTATTTGACTCCCCATTTGCTGATCTGTGGGCTGTCGCGACGTCTGAGCTACTGTTCGATGTCGAGGGAAAGCAACGGGGATTTGTTCCCATTTGCCAAGTGATGGGGCCAGGCCGTCTGCTTTGCTCCGTGATCCAACGTAACAGAAGCTGAAGCAGGCGAAGCGACTAGCGCTTTTAGCTTTGGGTTATTATTCACCCTTTTCCATTTAATCATTTCTATAGCTTTTATAATGTGCTTTTATAAGTTAGTTGATGCTGTTTTATTATAAGAAAAAATATTATATTATAATTAATAACATGGCTGATAGGATCGAGCGCACCGGGTCTGCGCGAGTGATTGCCGGTGATGATCGGGACCAGGAACCAGACACCCGTTTTCCCTCTGCGTGGAGCATTGCTGGCGCGAACAGATTTGCGAGGAGCAGACGGGGTTTCCACTGCACGGTACGGATAATCTGGCACTCTACCGCTACGCCACGAACGCCTCGCGGGCACGGGCAGGTGGGCAGGTGCGGACACCGGTGACCGGACGGCGCCGGGTTCCGTCCCGCCGGCTGCCGACCAGCCCGTGGTTTCTTTTTGGTTTTGATTTGATGACGCGGCCGGACAGGACAGCCTCTTGGATCATTTTTTGTGCGAGTGCGCGGCTCGTCCTTGCAGCTTGCCGAATTTGATTTGCCCACCTCGATCAAGCCGGGCGCTTCCGCGGAGTAGTAGATGGTTTAAACCTGGGTTCAAGAATATCTTACGAAGCACGGACGCACGCCCCTTACGAGTAGCTTCCTTCCTAGTGTTGAAAAGCCGAGGAATGCTGCTGTTCCCTGTCATGCTGCTTTTCTGATCGGTGTGGCACCGTTTTGTCCCTTCCCTGCGTCTCTTCTCCGTTCTCCCAGAAGACTCAATTTGCTTCCGCGGAAAAACAATTTTGCCTAGTCAGCAGAGTTGCAGCTTGTTCATATATTACAACTACTAGGCCGGGTTGCGCGCTTCGCTGCGCACGCAGGTGATGTGTACATCTCTGTGTTTTTCTTGCTGTGAACTTGTGATACCGCTCTTGCTAAGGTTACATCACTTTGATCTTTGTGAGTTGTGACTGGTATTTGAGCATCGTGGATGCATGAGGATAGCGTGGCTTGCCTTTCCGGAGTATGTTGACGTGGTATTTTCCTTTCAATGTGGTATATGTATTGTTTTGGTGATTCATTTAGATCTTTCCGTATTATATATAATGTTTAGCTATGATGATGAAGCGAATACACATGGGATACAAAGGAACTTAGAAAAGTATACATATGCAAATACTGACTGGATTCATAAAGGGAGCATATAACGTTCTTTGCAAAAAAAAAAAAAATCCAAATTTACCCAACTATGTATTGATTATTTTAAAAATATATGGACACAAGACACATGATTTAAAAATAAAAAACAGTTCTGGCCGAACCCGCTAAGGCTCATACATCGTGACATAAGCACCGATTCACTTTCGCAAGCCAAATTTCCTAACTTTCCCTTTCACCTGTAACTTGAAATAAAAATAGAGAACATATATCAAATGAATAAACATTATACAGATTGGGGTTTGTCAGAACAAATGGAGTGTAGTTCCATTTGAACATTGGAAATTACCTTAGCTTTTATGCAACAAAAAGAGGTGGTCTCAAGCTTTGAAGATTCACATGTTTCAAAAATTGTGAAGAGGTGGTTTCAATATTCACAAGGGATCATAAAAAAATGTGAACTGACCTCTTCCGATTTGGTGCTCCAGCTAGTATTGTATTATAACCAAGTAAATAGTTAGTCCCCACTAAAAATATATAGAAGTCAAAAGAGTCATGTTGTAGAGGATAATGACAGATTGTAGATGAAGTTATCTGAAGTATGACAGGATCTGGTAGCTTTCTGGAGATAATGTAGAGTAATTCTACTCCAGGTTTCATACACAAAGCCCGATAAAAGCAGAGGTTCGCAAAAGAGTGTAAAGCCATCAGGAATATATGGTATTTTTTATCATAATAAAATCATGATATCACTAACCAAAAAGACATCAAGCATGAATATAATTTAGTGTTAATTTTATATGCAAATTATGCTAGCACCATGAATATAAAGGTCACCTAAAGCACATTATTTCATAGTATTTGACTGTACTGTAGGTTTGAAACTTTGGGCAAGTTCATTTTCTTTGAACAGCTGCTTTTTGCCATGATCAATAACATCATTCGGAGTTTTTCGAACACCTTGTCCATGTAATGATAATAACAAATGTGCCACTGACCTGTTGGATGTTGGATCTCCACTTGCAGTATGAAGCTCACAGCTGACAGCTCCCAGGCAAGGAAGCAGTCATTGCTATTCTGAGTGGTGTGTGCTCGATGCGTCATGGCTTCCATTTAGCAACTCATTATTGTAAGCCTTCAACATTACAATTAACTTTTAGAGCACAAACAGATCAGCAACACTACTGATCTCTCTGCTACACGATTTTTATGACAAAGAATACCACTGCAAGACGTGTGTTTACCTTTTTATGGGAGAAGAGGCTTAACAAAACGATTAGCTCAAAAAGATATAATGTGGAAAAGATTCATCAGGTGAACAACTTTCCTTTAACATTCCCCCCTCCCACGGGCCAAGAAGAAAAAAGAAAAATAGATTCCCAGCATTTAGTGCAGTGCAATTCAAACACAGGACGGCTTATATTGTAGGCATGCAAGTTTTGATCGAAGTCATCACTCTAGTGTCCGGTAAGCACAAACATAAAAGAAATCGCCATATAGGGAACATCTCGGCACGTTAGCCAAAGATGCTCGACGCATATTTTATCAGAAGTGATAATAGCAAGAAGAATAAACAACAGTAGTGTAAACTTACATTTTAGAATCACATGATTGAGGAAGAGAATCTGAGCGCTCATATCCATAGCCCAAGTCTTTTAATCAAAAAAAATATGTTATGATAAAAGAATTCATAGACCTGCTCCAAGAAATTTATCATTCAGTAAAATTATCTATTTTTTAAACAAATAAACATAAAGCAAGTCCTTACAATAATTACCATCGATATTTTACGGGCATAAATTATCTGAGGATTCATTAGAGCTAGTTGAAGTTAGATGAGATAACATTGCCGATTTTCCACCTCCAAAGGCTTTTTAAAGCAAGCACATATAAGATGCTTGATTTTGAAACACCATAAAATGTACAATTTTTAGCACATGTGAGCCATCCAGATGAGCAGAAATAGGCCAATGGAAAAACTGCGCCATCTAATTTAGACATTTTTTTTATTTCGTACATTCAATGGTAGCTACATATTTGCACAGTGAAAGCATCAGGATAAAACATTCAATAGCTAGAATCATACCATGGCATACATGTAGCAATGTCTTGTAACAACTTTGAATCCGGAAGAAGGAATTAGGAACATTTTGCCATTAGAAAGGACTACATGTTTGCGCTGCATGTAACAATATTCACAGATACTGATAATGCGATCCATTAGAAGTACCATGGGTGCAACGTGGGCTAGAGTCTGACATACGTCCTTCTGACATGATAGGAAGCTCTAGGATCGTTGAAGCTGATGCAACCACCGTTCTTGAGGTCTGCACGACAGAAGGAATCAAATTGAGTCAGCAACAGTTGAAGCAAGCCAGACATATACAATGGCATACTGCAAGCGGGATGGTTGAAAAGAATGGTCTGTCTAATGGCATGAGATAGAAACATGTGTAAGAGCAATTGCCTACGAAAACAAACAATTTCAGTTAGAGAAAAAAAACAGAACTATTTTTCCCAGGCTAGACATATAAGATGGAATAAATACTAACCTTCTATACATATGGATGCTAGGTCTCAGTTCCATCAGTTGGAACTACAATCCACCATGGTATGCTCATCTACAATTCTGCGATCTCAGATAGTCTTAAAAAAATCCACCAAAGGAAACTAAATTTCTATAGGGAAACTAAGAAGAAATCAATCTCAAGTAGTGTAGTTAAGACCTAACCAAAGTAGTTAAGACCTAACCAAACACATTTTTTGTCCAAGCAGATCAAGATCGGACACCAGATCGAGATGATCAACATGGAGAAGGAGGGGGCGTGAACCTCAATTCCAGGAAGACGGCAAGGTAGACTTGGGGAGCCGCCTGCTGGCGGAGATGAGGATGAGTGCGGCCTCTGACCGTCGCTTCCGCTCTGTGGATGCCGACGCCCTAAGCGCCGTCGCCTCTCCGTCCTGGTTCGGCGCACAACTGCAGGCAAGGCTGGTCGCCGCATCTGCATGCCGCCGCTGCCGGGGGAGAGGATGAGGCGATGAAGCCGTCGACACGCGCAGCCTTCGTGAAGGAAGGACGCCGCATCCGCGTCCGCCGTCGCTGGGGGAGAGGAAGAGGAAGAAGCGGACGGAGGCGGCGAGGCGCGATGTCGGGTCGCAGTTTTCTCCTTTTTATTTACTTTGATTTGACGCGAGCACAGGAAGAGACCCAATCACGAGAGAGCAAATCGATGC